AATTCGCTGAGCTTGTCAGTATCCCGAAGGAAAACTGTGATGAACGTTTGAGATGTAGTCTGTGCAGTAGTCTAGTACTTCCTGAGTATCTGTTTCTTTTGGGCGACAAGGAAGTGATGACTTGAGGATATATCAGTTCTTCTCTACATTTGCACATTGTTCATCATCCTGCTCAACTTTTTATTGATGCAGACACGGTTGATTTCTCTCTATTTAGTGAGGTCTGGTGAAGTCCATGTGGCTTTGTGTATGCGTTTTTATGGTAATCTAGTACTGTAGTGCCTCCACATAAACTGGAGTTCGCTCATATTTAATTTGATTAAGCCTTTCGATTAACTTATGTAAACAAGCTACTTGTATAGCAACAACTCATATGTACCATTGGTATTTTTTATTGTCTGGTTTGTATGAGCTTGTACGACTGAGCATTGCTTACGCCTACGCGATTACTCATCCTTTTCGCTCTAATGTTAATCTCTTAATATCCCTATCAACTCACATGACTTGTCTCGCTTGCTTTTGACCTTGTCAATCTTCTGTCGCTTTTATTCATGTGTGTGCATGCTTATCTTGTTGATCATATGTCTGTCCTATTTTTGTCCGACTATATATTCTTAGTCATGCTCAATCTATTTGAGTTGGCTCAACAGCCTTCTCCAATTTACGCTGCTTCTTTCATTTTATTCGCTGCTTCTCCGATTCGCTTTGTATTGTGTCCCAAATAAACGTATTCAACACTTCGAGTTCATCTTCTGATTTATAAACCGTCAGACGCTATTTAGTAACGATTGTCTGGACGAGTTAATTACCGAGCATAAGAACACGCAGTAAATTGGCACACTACAGTACCACTGACGGCCAGTTTGTGGTAGGAACATCGGTTTGCAAAGCTCTGATCGTTTTCAGTCTTCTATCTCAGTCCATGTCGTCTCATGATGTCTTTATATCCAGTGTTTTCCCTCATAACCTTGGTATTTATATCTGCTGTCAGAACGGTCAAGTACTTTGGTAGGCATTTCTCGAATACTGACTTTAGCATCTCATAGAACAGATCTTTAACGTCCTCATTGTAATGATTGGTAGGTGTATAGCATTGGATGACATTCACTGTTATGCCCTCACTTTTTGTTTCTATGATCAGGGATCCATGAGATTGCACTCTGTCGGTGTTTTTTGTGCTTGATTAGATAACATCAGTGGAACTTTTGGTGTATGTGAAGCATTTTCTTCTTCATGGTCAGAGAATAACAACAACTTTGTCTTGAAGATAGTCCTTATTGT